TCTTATTGGTATCTTTTGAAGAGCAGAAGTTTGCAATTTTGATGAAGTTTAGCACATTAGTTTGTTATTTTATGGATTATGTTTCAGATGCTATGTCTAAGATACCTATGCCTGACTAAAGGGCACAGTATTTTCTTTTAGAAGTTTTGTGTTTTACATTTGGGTATATGATGCATTTCAAATTTTGTATATGGTGTGAGGTATGGCTCAAAGTTCTTTTTTTGTTTTTCGCATATAGAGAAAGCATCATCATTTGTTGAAGGGACTATTCATGTTCCACAGCTTTCCCTTTGGACTTTCATGAAAATACATATCTATGTGGATCTATTTATGGACTCTCTATTCTGTTGCATTGATCTATATGTCTCTTTCTTGAAACTAAAGTAGCATCAGTCCAATTTGTTTCTTCTTTTTTAAGGAAGTTTTGATTATTCTGAGCTCTTTCTATTTTCATGTGAATTTTAAAAATTGGTTAATTTCTACAAAAAGTCTACTGGGATTTTGATGAGGATTACATTGAATCTATATATCTATTTGAAGAAAATTGTCATTTTAACAACATTGAGTCTTCCAACCTTTGAATGTGGTATATCTCTTCATTTGTTTAGATCTTTTAAAATTTCTATGAGTGTTTTTTAGTTTTCAGTGTATAGGTCTTTCGCATACTTTGCCAGTCTTATCCTTAATTATTTCATTTTTTATGCTGTTATAAATGGTGTCTCAATTTCTGATTTTTTGTCTCAATTGCTGATTATTTCTAGGATACAAAAATATAATTTATTTTTGCATATTGATCTTGTATTATGTAACCTTGCTAAACTCAGTTATTAGTTAGAAGGGCTTTGTTTGTAGATTCTATTGAATTTTCTAATTAGACAATCATGTCATCTGCAAATAAAGACCATTTTAAGTCTTGCTTCACAATCTGAATACATTTTATTTATTTTTGTTTTATTGCACTGGCTGGAACTTCCAATACAGGGTTGAATAGAAGTGGTGAGAATAGATATCCTTCTCTTGTTTGTGAACTTAGAGGGAAAGCATTTAGTCTTTCATTATTTAGCATGATTTTAGCTTTAGTTTCTCATATTAATAGATGTGTTTCACCATAGTGAGGAGTTCCTTTCTAAATTTATAAAGGATTTTTTTTTTATCAGTAATGGATGTTGGATTTTATCACATGCAATTTTTGTATCTGTTTAAATAATCGTGTAGTTTTCTTAATTTTAACATAATAAGATGGTAAATTACATTTATTTTGAATGTTAAACCAATTGTGTATTCCTGGATAACTCTACTTGATCACGATGTATTCTCATATTGTTGGATTTGATTTGCTAGAAGTTTGTTTATTACTTTTGCATATGTGCTTATGAGGGATATTGGGCCATAGGAATCTTTTCTCTTAATAGATTTGTCTGGTTTTGATATCTAGATAATGCTGACTTTTTAGATAGTAACATTTCCTCCTTTTCAATTTTCTGGAAGGATTTATATATAATTGGTATTATTTCTTCCTTAAATATTCAGTAGAAGTCACTAGAGAAGACATCAGGGCCTGGAGTTCTAACAATTCTAGATTACAGTTGTTCTTATTGTTTATTGTCTTCAGACTTGCACTGTTTTTGTTTTTGTTTGTTTTCTTTTTCTTTTTTCTTTCTTTCTTTCTTTTTTTTTTTTTGCCCAGGCTGGAGTGCAATGGCACGATCTCGGCTCACCGCAGCCTCCACCTCCTGAGTTCAAGCGATTCTCCTGCCTCAGCCTCCCGAGTAACTGGAATTACAGGCATGCACCACCATGCCCAGCTAATTTTTGTATTTTTAGTAGAGACGGGGGTTTCTCCATGTTGGTCAGGCTGGTCTCACCCGACCTGAGGTGCTGTGCCACCTCGGTCTCCCAAAGTGCTGGGATTACAGGCATGAGCCTCCGCGCCGGGCCAGACTTGCATCATTTTATTAATAGTAAAAAATCTGTTGTTATCCTTATCATTGTTCCTTTATATGCAATGTGTCTTTTTCTCTAGGTGCCTTTAAAAACTTTTTTTTTCACTAGTTTTGAGCAGTTTGGCAATGATATACCTTAGTATGGTTTCATGTTTCTTGTGAATCGGTGTTTTGAGATGTTTGGATCTGTGTGTTCACAGCTTCATCAAATTTGGAAAATGTTCTGCCATTCTTTCTTAAAAATAATTTTTTTGCCCTTCCATCTCTTCCCTCTTCAAATACTGGCATATTAATCTTCTTAAAGTTGGCCTGCAGCTCACTGATGCTCTCGATTCTGATTTTTATTTTTTGTTTTTTTAATTTTACTGTCTTCTCCATTCTGTGTAGTCTCGATAGCTGTGTCTTCAGATTTGCTAATATTTTCTTCTGACATGTCTAATGTACCATTAATTTCATGCACTATATTTTTCATCTTATACGTTATAGTTTTTATCTCTAGAAATTTTATGTGAATTTTTTCATATCTTTTCTACCTGTACTTAACATTTTGAGCGTATGAAATACAGTTATACACTTAATGTCCTTGTCTGCTAATTCTAATATGTGTCAGTCCTGGTCAGTTTTGATTGTTTTCTAAATTATGGATCATATTTTTCTGCATTTCTGCATGCTTGATAATTTTCATTAAATGTCAGTCATTATGAATTTTACTTTATTTGGTGGTAGATATTTTTGTATTTCTATAAATATTTTGTGATTTGTTCCGGTACATGGTTAAAATAATTTGAAACAGTTTGATTTTTTCATGTCTTGATTTAAGATTTATGTGAAACCAGAGAAATACACAGTCTAGAATTAAGTATTCCCCCCTACTAAGGCAAGACCCTTCTGTGTACTCTACCCATTCCTTTGTGAATTGTGAGTTTTTTCACCCTAGCTAATGGCAACAGGCAATATTCCTGTTCCTCTGTGACTGTAGTGTACCTTGAACCTTTCCCTGGTCTTGGGGTGTTTCCTCACTTGCCTGTGTTGATCATTACAAAGGTAAATAACCCAGCAAGGACCCTCTCTGTTGTGCTCTGTGTGTAGCCCTCTTTTCCAGTATTCTGGAAATCTCTGCAAGGATCTTTCCTCACATAGAGCTCATCACAGTTGTTGCCATAGGGCTCATTGCAATTGTTTACTGGCTCTCAGGGATCAGTTTTTCTTGACATGATGATGCAGGATTTTTCTTGACCCCTTTGTCAGGTTTGCAATGGGGAAGCCCTGTTTACTCAGCCCGCCACACTCAACCCCTTGCAGGAGGGAGCTCGTGAGCAAATGAGAGCAGCATCAGGCTGGTTGCTTTGGGTGCCGGCAGGAGCACGCTCCATGCACACCTTGCAGCGGTGCCCAGGTGGGAGTGCCTGTGATCCCCGAAATCCCAGAGGGCATGCTGCAGTGCTCTCTTAGCTTAGTTTTGCCATTTGTGGACCGCAGTGTGTTACCAGCTCAGTGGGCCTCTTGTCTTGTCAGGTGGGGCGTCTCTACTCCGCCAGCAAGGGCTAGTGTGACAGCTTTTTTTGGGTTCCTACGTCCAGTGGGTCCCAAGCTCTTGTGTGGTGTCCAAGAAGAATGATGTCGTGCCAACACTTGAAGGATGGTGGAGGCAGATAATTTTATTTAGCGATGGATGGCTCTCAGCGGAGAGAGGAGCTGGAAAGGACGGGACGGTCAGGTAGTCTTCCCTGAAGTCAAACCGTCTCTCCAAAATTAAGCTGTCTCTTCTCTGAAGTGCAGCCGTCCCTCTGAAGTCAAGTTGCTTCTCTTCAGTCAAGCTGCTTCTCTCCTCTACTGACTGAGTCCAGGGTCTTTATAGGCACAGAATGGGGGGCAGGGCAAGCCATGGGGAGTTTTGGAAAAGGCAACATTTGATTGGTGAAAAGACATTATTCAGAAAGAACCAATCAGGAGGGAACAGGCAAACAGGGATAGACGTTCTCACCTTGGGCCGCAGGTTTCGGGCTACTTTGTCTTGAAGGTGCCGTTTCACGGGGGACCCGCCCCTGTCTGCCAAGAATTTTTCTGCCTCCTGCTTCTGTCACTGATGTTCACTGTTTTGAAAACATTGTTTCATATATTCTGTCTGTGTTTTGGTTGTTTCAGGCAGAAGCATGAATCTGGTCTCTGTTACTCCATCTTGGCTAGAAGTAGTAATCATGCCTTTTAATTTTGTCCAATTTTCTTACTTTAAAAACATTTAAAATTTTAAACCGAAAAATTCATCAGTCTTTACCTTCATGGGCTCTGTACTTGGTGTCATGCTTAGAAACACTTTTTTGTTTAAGAACTTATAAAAAAAATTACTTCTATTTTTCAAAGATTTGAGTTGCCTTATTCAGATATTTTATTAATATGGAATACTACATTACTCACAATTTGGAAAATAGCTAAAATGTGGGGAATGGGGGAGAACACCTGTAATTCCATCACCAAACACACTGTAAATTTATATATTGACATATTTTCTTCCATGTGTTTTCCTGTGCCTTTATTTTTTGTATATTTGTAATGCTGGTGTCTGTCATTTAGCATGTTCATCCAGTGCATCGCATCATTAACCTTTTTTATGTTGCTACGTAATCTTCACAGTTGCATTTTAATGACTGAGTTATATTTCATCAAATGATTATATTGCAATTATATTACCTTTAAACTGTTAAGCATTTTAGCTATTTGTTCTTAAAGTATATGAATCAATTATCAGAGAGTACATTTTCAGAGAATCTTAACTTTGCCTACTTACACATGACCCCATGAGAGCAGAAATGTGAGTAAGGCCCCTGATGTGTTGTTGTATCTGTCTCCAGGCCCATTCTAGTACATCCAATAAAATCCTGTTTGTAGAAAAATGAGAAGAAATAAAAACATTAATTCTTAATAACTCAATGCATTTTTTATTACTCGTGTAGTTGTAAAACAAACTTTAAAAAACAGCTTAGAATTTCTATATTTAGTATGCGTTAACATGCTCTCTCAATTACTTTCTAATACTTATTTGTGCTTGCTTATTTTTAGGAAAGATACTATTCAAGTCCAGTACATCATAATGCAGAATTCTTTAGCAGTACCACCAAAAGATGAAGGTAAGATAAACTGCTGAGGAAAATGGTGATGTGTCTGTTATAGTTTTAATTTAATACATTGAATATCATTGACCTCTAATCATAAGGTAACTTATTTCTTAGAATTAAAAACAAAAATTATAATTATATATGAAAACTCATTTCTTTTGGTAAATAATTTGAGTGTATATGGATTCCTGAGTTTTAAGGACCTGTCTCCTTTTCTAGGCTGTAGCTCCTTGAGAGCAGGGCCATCTCATTCCACCCAAAACTCACAGAGCCCTGCTTATTCACTGGCAGTTAACTGGCACTAACAGATATCAATGAAATTAAAAAATATTGGCTTTATTGAAGCAAAATAACACAAGTATTTTAGTGAGTAGAAGAATATATGCATACATATTCATACACACATCTGTAGACATACACTTAGAGGATATAGAATTTATGTATACATTTCTTTGACCTGTTTCCCCTGATAATCCATTTTAAAAGAAATAGAAAAACCATTTTACTCTATACAATGTATAAAAAATAAAATGATGATTTTTTAACAGGCACTTCTGGACCTTCCAGAAGAACCTGGATCTCCAGATGGAGGTAGAGTCCTTTCTTAATCAAGAGTATTTAAATTATCCTCACCATAAAGGGTACACTCTAACCCCAGGGAGAAATACCAGTCTTTCCCTGCCCCATCTAGTCTCTTCCACACGGAAGAGAAGTTCTGATGTGTGTGAGAAAAAAGACGTATCTTTAATGAGGCAAAATTAGGCTGTCTTAGTAGAACATGTAGCTTTTAGTAAAAGGAGGGAACTTGTTATGAAGGGCCCTTAAATAGAGCAGACACTCTGATCTCTGTCAGTGAGAAGGGTAGTATCATAACTCTTGAGCGCGTGGAATCTGGATTTGAAACTCAGTCCTACCACTTAATTGTAAAACCTTAGGTATATCACTTGACCTCAGCTTCCACATCTGTAAATCTATAAAATGAAGATAATAAGTCCCACTCTATAGGATATGTGGAGACTAAAGGAAATAGCATATGTAAATCACCCAGCATATTGTTGTTTGCGTAGTAGGCACTGATATGATGATAAAACTACCGTTCTTAATGGCTATTATTAATATCTGGGACCTCCTCATCTTTGAGACTGGTCAGTGAGATGGCCATGAGGCTGCCTCTTGCTTGGAAATGCCTAATGACCTTGGAAGGCCAAACATGCTCCAAGGAGACCCATGAGGAGTAAGCAGGAAGCAGACCGCTTGGTTTGATTGTTATCCAGGAATTTATCCCAAGGGAGAGTGAGAGTCCCTGAGACTCACACAAAATCCAGCCAGGAACACTAGGGCAAGGAAGGAGATGGGAAACCCCAACTAGAAATCAAGAGCATGTGTTTTCCTTGAGTGTTCTTTTTGGTATATATTCTCTGGAAGATTTGTGGAGCCCTAGGTAGCTGATCAAGGGTTTGATATTCGGTGTTCAAGCTGATATTACCTTCTTTTATCCAAGTAAGCGAGGAGAGGCTTAGCAGTAAAAATAATGGAGCAAGTATCAGGAAAGCTGGACTCCATTCCAGACCTGCCTCCAAACAGCTGTGGAACCCCAGGCAAAGTTATTTTGCCACTGAGCCTCAGTTTTCTCATTTAAAAATCGAGAATGACTAAGTGTTCTTTTCAGGCTCTAAAAAGGTGAGTCTATATGAGTAAACAACGAACCACTTGGCTCTGGCTTATACAAAGGGAGAAAGCACTCACACCTCTTGGCTGCTTTGATTCTCATCACAGTTTGTTTTGTTCTGATGTCTACCTCTCTGGGCTATAACATAAGCTTGGATACCTCCATTGACCAGAAAGTAAGACCCCTTTGCCCTACCCAGAGCTCAAGTGAACCTCCTCACCAATCTTTTCTGGGACTAAAGATGCTTAAGCCCAATCCTGGAATTTGACAGAGGAGATGTAATAGCCTTAAAAAACCTAAATCATGTGCCTCCAGTGTGATATCATTCTGCCTACAACTTTACATCCTTTATTTTATTTAATCTTCACAATAAGTTGGACGTAAACCTTATTTTGCAAGTTCAAGATTAGGTATTTTTTGCCAAGACCACCAACAAGTAAGTGACTGATCCAAGATTTGAACCCAGATCTATCATAAAATTTATAAAGAATATTTATATAAATTATAGAGAACATATATTTATAAAGAATACTTATAAAGAATATTTAATTCATAAAGAATATTTCTATAAGAATTTAGAATAATTTGTAATTTAAAATTTATAAAGAATATTTCTAATAATTTTTGATCATCTCCTTTTTCTTCTCTGATCAAAAATACTATGCTTAATTACACATATGAATGCTTAAAGCCATTTTAAATCAAAGTGAGCAGAAATTATAACAAATTATGGGAAATTACATCTATAAGGAAAAATTATGTATATGAATATGTGTAACACCTAAGAATTGCCCAGTTATTCATTAATTTATTCATTCATTCAAATGCTTTCTGTATGTCTTAGGTTAATATTAATATGTTTTAACAAAAGCATCAGATTTATTATGATTCTGTTTATGATCAAATATAATTTATGGCTAGGTGTAGCAGCTCCCACCTGTAATCCCAGCACTTTGGGAGGCTGAGTTAGGAGGATAACTTGAGGCCAGGAGTTTGAGACCAGCCTGGGCAACATAGTAAGACTCCATCTCTACAAAAAAAATTTCAAAATTAGGTGGGCATGATGGCTCATGCCTATAGTCCCAGGTACTTGGAAGGCTGAGCTAGGAGGATTGCTTGAGCCTAGGAGTTTGAGGCTGCAGTGAGCTGTGATCATGCCATGCATGGCACTGTAGCCTGGGCAACAGAACAAGACTTTGTCTCTAAATATATATATATATTTTGTCTGATATATATACACACACACACGTATACATATATATTACATATATATTTGTTTAATTACATGTACATAATTTGTGTGACATGAGAAGTTTGCTGGGCACATGCTGTTTATTGAATGCAGATTGATTTATTTAACAAACCATTGATGGCTAGCTATAAATTATGATACCTTTGAATTTCCAACTTATAAACACATACACACATATTATATGCATTTCTGTATAAAATTTAGATAAGACATTACCAACAGAGTTGTGAGCCTTAAATTAAGGAAAATATGCTGTACCAACATACTGTCCCCAAACAAAGTTCATATGGTAGAAGCAGGTTTAATGATCACCAAGGTAATTTGTACCAGGAACTATCAGATGCTGTGAAGAATCCAAAGGTAAGTCATACAGAGCCTGAGCTTTTAGGCTCTAAAATCCTGTTGGAACAGCATATATGCATGTCCTTAACTAGAATAAAGCATGACTAATGCTGTACTAGAAGTGAGTATGGCATACTTTGAAAATCAGAATGAAAGAACAGTTGGTTAAGCTAAAGATTTTGAGGCTGGTCAGGAAACACAATGGAAGAGATGACATTTGTTCAGGATATTAACATATATGTACAAGTCAAGCAAGTGGAATTTAGGCCAGAGGGTTTAAAGCTAGGAAGAACTGGCAGCATTATTAACGGAGAAAACAAATTTAAAATTCCGGTTTCTTCTACTTAAATGTTATCTAATTTCAGATAAAGAGATTTAACATTGTGCTATCACTCTAATGATAAGTTATACTATATTATAGGTTTTCTATTATAACCTAGTGTCACCGTTATTCCTTTCTGTGTGAGAATATAATTTATAGAATTTTGAGAAGTTCATGAGACTTATTTTGTTGTAGTTTTCTATATCATTCTTTCAGGATTTAGGGATACGATTTAGTTTTCCATATTCCTTTTTTTGTCTGGTATTTTCAAATGATGAACTAAACTGTGTTTTTCAAAAAAGAGGCATGAAAACAACATAATAAGGCCAACTATTTAGATTTGGTGAAAGACAGTCACCACACTAATTAAAAATGCAAGTCAATTTATTTACATGCCATATAAGAAAACTCACACAGGTGAGCGGTATCACCAAATGATTCTCTGACAGGGACAATGTATGTGTTTTATGTGCTAAGAAGAGGTAGTTCACTGTGATTATGCCAGTTGATCATTGAAGTTTGTACCTTGGGTAGTCAGAATGAATTTTAAGTTCCTACACAGTTGGTTAATGCAAACCCCATTGTTCATTGGTCAGGAAGGAGTCTTCATTTAAGTCAAGTGAGAGTCTGTTTTAGTGGAGTCTCTCAATTCTTTTTTTTTTTTTTTTTTTTTTGAGACAGAGTCTCGTTCTGTCACCCCGGCTGGAGTGCAGTGGTGCAGTCTTGTCTCACTGCAGCCTCCACCTCCTAGATTCAAGCGATTCTTCTGCCTCAGCCTCCCTAGTAGCTGGGACTACAGGAGCGAGCCACTACGCCTGGCTAATTTTTGTATTTTTAGTAGAAACGGGGTTTCACCATGTTGGCCAGGCTGGGTCTCGAACTCCTGACCTCGTAATCCGCCCTCCTCGGCCTCCCAAGGTGCGGGGATTACAGGCCTGAGCCACCGCACCCCATCGAGTCTCTCAATTCTTAGTCACTTGTCAGCCTTACAGTTAAGTTTGCCATTTCCTAGACAAATCTTCTGCAGGTAGAAAAGTTTTCTTATACAGTTCCTCTACCACTTTTCTCAACTCTGTCATAACGTTTGTATTATTTAAAGGAAGCTTTCAAATTGTGAGTGCTATTTCTATTTCATAAAAGTAAGAAATGAGGATGGAGAGAGAGCAAATGCTTTGAGGCAGACACACAGGCGGCCCCCTCTGGACCCACTGCAGTTAGCTGGACATGTGCTGTACAGCTACTACTGATTTCCCAAATCTGTACATGATTGGACTGCACAGCCAAGGCCATTACTGTCTATCATGTGAATTCATATTTGAATCCTTTAAAAAAACCCTAGATTTTCTGATTCAATAAAAAATAGTTATGATACTGTCTAAAAATGTATTCTATGTCTTGCAGACATAAAAGTATATACTTATAGCTTA